GATAATTGGACTCTTTCCGGCTGATCCCCTCCATCTCCACCCAGATGCTCAATGAAGAAACAGCTTTTCCATGCCTCCCGAGCCGCCACACACAGCCTGGGCAGGCCCCACAGGGCCGTGAAGGCCCAGCAATTTGACTTTCCCAGGCCCCTCCCACCCAGAGCAGGGCCCAGGAGGCGGATTCTCAGTCACGAATCAGCCTGTGCGGCCAGCTCTGAGCCTGGGCCTCCTGCCAGGAGCGTGAGCAAGAGGGAGCTGGGCTCAGACACTGTCTCTGTCCCCGGCGCCTTCTCTCAGGGCTCACTGCCCTTGGCCCTGCCCCTTCTTCACCTCCTGTCACCCTTGGACCTGCAGTCCAGCTCAGGGTCTTGCCTGCCTCCACTCTGGGGCCCTAAAGAGCCACTTAGCTGAGGCTCAGCTCCTGGTAATAAAGAAGCAGAAGACACGGTGATGAGGAGAGGGGAGCTGAGGGCAGGGGGCAGAGAGGAGCTGCCCAAGGCTTTGGCTGTGGAATGAATCCCAGGGGTGCAGGAAAGGTCTCCCCAGCCCCAGCCCCAGTCCCCAGGAGTCCTAGGCAGAGGGAGCAGGCAGGCAGCTGTGGCTGCCTAGGAGTGACTCCTGATGACCAGCAATGATTATGGGGACAGTGTTGGGGGGTCTGGTGGCCCAGCAGCCAGCCCAGCCTGCAGCGTAGACACCACTCCTGTTCTAAGTGAGCTCCAGGAGCCCAGGCCAAAAACAGAGCCCTTCCCGGTTCCCTCCCAGGCTCTCCCAGAGACCACCCACGTGGGATCTATCAGCTTGGATTAGTCTCCAGATCTCTGGCCCAGCCCACAAACCCTGCTACCTCTGAGCTGCTGGGCCTTTTTCTCTGGGACTGCGTAGTCCCAAAGGCTGTCCCTGGAAGTCGTCTGGACCACAGGAAGGGATTCAAGTGGTTAGTTAGCACAGAGCAAAGAAGGGCGGCACCGCGCTACAGGAGCTCCCACCTGAACTGGCCTTTGACCCACAAAGCAAAGAAGGGTGGCACCACGCTACAGGAGCTCCCACCTGAACTGGCCTTTGACCTTGAGGACACAGCCTCCTGCAAGGAACCTAGGCCTGAACCAGGGTGGGAGATGCCACCCAGCACCCACTTAAGCCTTGATCTCTCCTTCCAACAGCACGCCCTTCCTAGCTCTGGCTCCATCCCAGCAAGATTCTTTGCTGTTCCCTCACACCTGCACCACGCACCTCTTCTGGGAGTAACTGCCACCCAGCACCCACTTCGCCTTGATCTCTCCTTCCAACAGGACGCCCTTCCTAGCCCTGGCTCCGTCCCAGCGAGATTCTTTGCTGTTCCTCACACCTGCACCACGCACCTCTTCTGGGAGTAACTTTGCCCCGTATGGGCCAGTCTAAGCCCCGCCTGCCCTGCGAGGGGCCCAGCTGCCCTGCATCCCCAACTCCACATCTTTTGGGAACGTGGGTCCTCCAGTGTCAGGTCTGAGTTACTGGTGTACTGTGATCCGGACCGCGGTCCTGCCATCTGATGGTCCCAGATTCAAATCCCAGCTCTGCCACATCCTACCTGCGTGGCCTTGGGCAAGAGACCGAAGCTCAGTTGTCTCATCTATAAAATGGAAATAATGGGCACTTTAACAGGAACTAAGTGAGACGTGTGTGGCACGCTTTCTGTGGGGCTTGGCACACAGTAATGCTGGGTAAACAATGATTGTGACCACTGTGGCAGTAGGGGTGGTGACCATTGTCCCCATCATTATCCCTGAAGAGTGTAGGTTCCCTGCGAATGGGAGCCATGTCTTTGTGTCTGCGTTTCCTGCAGTGCCCTGAAGAGTGAGCGTGACGGGCGCAGGGTAGAGGTATGAGAATCTGGATCAAGTGGAAGCACATGGGGCTTCACTGGGAAGGCAGAAGGGCCAACACGTTCTCCAGCAGTGTGCAGATGACTGTCTGAATGGAGATGGCTGTGTGGCTCTGACCACCCCCAGCTCCAGCCTGACATCCAGGCTCCTTCTGAGGAGGCCCCAGATCAGTCGGGGCCGGGCGGGAGCAATCGTACTTGGAGGGGAAATGGCCTTGCCCCGTGAGCCCTGGACACCTCTGCCTCTCTGAGGGAAGGTAGCACCTTGGCTCCTCGCTATGCATCAAACATTCCTGAACACTACAGACTGTGTCTGCATTCCAGGCCCATTGGTAACTGGGGCCTTGGGCAAGTCCCAAACCTCTCTGAGCCTTGGGTCTGTCATCTGTCAACTGAGCACCCTATAAATTATCTACTTCAAAGCGTCGGTGGAACATTAAATGAGATAATAACAGAGCCTGGGACAAGGTGGGTATTAAACAGATGTGAGCTGCCCCTTCCCCAGCCCCTTTCCCTGGCATACCGCAACCCTCGTCTGGTTGGCAGCAAAGGAGAGTGGGGAGGGGGCACGCCCTGGTCTGAAGAAGCGGAGGTCCCCCTGAACTCAGGCTACTGCTGTCTTCCTGGTCTGTGTGGATGGCGGCTCAGGGCCTGGTGCTCTGTCACCTGGGGCCTACGAAATCCAGCCCCGGGGAGAGGACGGAGAAGGGCTCCCAGGAAAGGCCTCAGCCCCCGGCCTGTGCCTGATTCCTACATTTAGAGATCCCTGGCTGAGCCTACACTGCTCTGTGTCCTCAGACCTAGAGAGCCACCTTCAGCCATCCCAGGTCAGCCTGGCCCTGGGCCAAGCCTGGGGACACCTTCCCCAGCCAGGCCACAGCCCAATTGCCTTCTCTGAACCTTCAAATGAGTCAGTGCAGGCACCATTTCCTCAGGACCCGCTGAAACTCTGAGCAGCAAAGTGTCTTCTGGTTTATCTGGAGGAAGGAAAATGACGTCGTGAGGTAAACCGCACAGCCTGAAACCACGAGGCTGAGGGTCCCAGTGATGTCTGCTTTCCAGCAACAGTCACTCGTGTGCATGGAGGGGCACAGAGCCCGAGACGTTCTGGTCAGAGGGTGACTGGGAAGACAGAGGGAGATTTTCAAATGTGGAACCACAAGAAAGGATGGACGTCAGAGGTCAGTAGGATGGCTTCCTGGGGACTGTGGGGAGGTTGCCAGCTGGGCGGGGTGACTGCTGGCCACTCACTAGGTCCAGGCCTTGGCACCCGAGGTGCTGAGGATCGTGTTTACTGTGGTGGGCATAATGGTGTTAATAATAAAAAAATAATAATAATATTGGTTATAAGTATCGTTTCTGCAAGCCCATTACACTGTTTGATTCTCAACAGACCTGATCTTCATGTGTAGACGAGGGAGAGGAAGCTGGTGGGCTTTGGCCCTGTACCTTCAACCTCAAAACTACAAAGTTTATTTGCGGACAGGGTGGGTGTCTCTCCGCCCTGAGGCCTGAGTGGAGGGCTCCCAGGTTCAAGCCCAAACCCCACCTGCTAACTGTGTCACCCTCTGCAAGCTGGTTTCTTCATCCATCCAATGTCCTGCTTCATCGGTAAGAGATTTCATAAAACGAACCCTATTCTTCAATATTATTTCTTACTTTATCAGCTTTGAGCAGGTTTCTCTGGGAAAATTGAGTCCAAAGAGTAGGCACAAGCACTGGTCCCGGTGGACTGGTGGGCAGGTTGGGGTGTGGGTGCCTGCTGTGTAGTGGGGGCCAGTAGACAGCTTGAATGAGGACAGAGAGCTGTTTGGGGGCATCAGGAGGGGCCTCCACACCCCCCACTGCAGGCAGTGCCTAAAGGGAGTTACCAGTGTGGCTGGGTGTGTTTGGGTGGGCGTGTAAGGCCAGGCGTCATGCCCCCAGGTGTGTAAGACCCCTGCTCCTGTGACCAAAACACATGCGTACTGACTTGCCCCAGCCCCAGGCCACAGTCCTGCTACCTCCGGGCAGGGCCTCAGGTCCAGCTCTGACCAGCTCTGAGGGTCTGCAGGAACCACTGGCCCAGGAAGGGGACCGAAGGGCTCAGGGCAGGAAGCTGGCCCAGCGCCTCTCACGGGCCTCCTGCTGCCCAGCATTTCTCCACTGGAGTCGAGGCTGCTGGGCTGGGGCTCACCCTTCTCAGCTCTTTTCCTTTATAATGTAAATCCCTCAAGGGAGAGGCAGCACCTCCTAGTCCTCCGCTATCAGAGTGCAGAGGACACACAGACACCCAGCACAAGCTCCTCACTTTAAGGAGACCGGAGAGGCGAAAGCATTTGCCTACAACCTCACGATGAGCGGACGGAGGGCAATGCCCTCTATCTCACAGTGGGGCGTCCCCTCCCCCTCTATCTCACAGTGGGGCGTCCCCTCCCCCTCACAGCTGTTATCATTATAACAGGAACCGACCATCAGCTTCCTTCCAAGATAGCACCAGCTACAAGCACAGGGCCCAGGACCCCTCCCCCGCACAGGGGTTGAGGAGCACTAGAGTGTGCATAGGAAGCTGAGGGAGGGTCCCAGCAGTCCAAGGGCAGCTGCCAAAAAAAGACAGCCTCTTCTGCCACTTTCCCAAGGCCAACTCAGCACCTGACGTGTGAGGATTAGTCATAAGCAACTGCTTGACCCCAAAAGTCATAGTTCATTGAGTTGGTGTCACAATGATGCTTTGCTGACTCATGGCCCAGAACGACGTAAAGCCCTCTGGCCCCACCAGACGCCAGCTGCTCTGGGGTCTCTCTTGCAAGCAACCCTCTTGCCTGGTGGCTCAGACTTTAAGGAAAGAGCCATGGGCAGTGGAAAGGGCACGCTGAGAGGCAGGCACCAGGGTCCAGCTCTGCATGTGCCAGAGGGACCACGGGCATTCTCTCCCCTTCCCCAGCATCAGCTCCCTTGTCTGTAAAATGAAAGATCAGATCAGACGGTCTCTGGATTTCTTCCCAGCTCTGAGAACCAGGTTTTGCCCCAGCTGTTCTCAGGGAGGACAGTGTGGCTTGTGTTTGAGGTCTGTGCCCCATCTTCTAGCCCTGAGAACCGCTAGAGCTTGGAGCCCTTCCACCCTGACTTCTCCCACCCTCAGGGTCTCGCTGGGGCCAGGCTGCCCGACCCCAGAGCTCATCCTCTGCTTTGATCATCAGAAGGAAGTGCCACGGTGTGTCTAAACGGGAAGTCCTCTCAAATGCCTGAATCCCACTGTTTCCCAAATGAGCGGAGTAGGGGCAAACAACAACAAAAAATCCACAGCCAAAAGCAAGCCAGGGCCCAGGACCCCGCCCCAGCCCATGAGCTGCCTCACCTGAGCGCCTGCAGGAGCGCTGGGAGCAGCCAGGTGTGAAGAGCTCCCACCACCATCGCTACCAGCACCAGCCCTATTATTCTCCCTCCGTGGTGCATCTGGGCTTTTTTCACTCACCCTTCCTCAGCGGCAGCAGAGTTCCAGTAAGGAGGGGGATGCTGGAGCCGGGCAGCCTGCGTGACCTGGGCTAAGCGTTTGTTCTCACTCTGCTTCAGTCCCTTGGCTATAAAATGGGAGTGCTAATAATATCTTCTCATAAGGTCATTAGGAGACTTAAATAAGTCAATGCCGTAAAGTGCTTAGAACAAGGCCTGGCACATAATGAGTACTCAGTAAAAGCTATCATTCATTCATTCACTCATTCATCCATTCCATCCTGCCTGTTTCCAAAAAGATTTGAGATGACTCACAATGGAAAGCACAAATATTATAGGCTTTTAAGCAAGGTATAAAGACTACAAGGCTAGGGTTACTCCAGAACCTTGGGCTGAGCAAGCTACTGCATCTGACCATCTTGTCCAAAAGGTAGCAAGCTCTTTTCTGATAAAAAAAAGAAAAAAGAAAAAAGAAAAAGCACACCAGCTTTTCAGGACAATATATTTCCCTGGTTCAATCTTTTTCAATGACATTAAACGATGCAAGAGGCAGAGCCTCCTCTCACCCTCCCTTCTACCTTTTTGAATCATCCCCTGAGAATCTGGGAGTCTCTTCTTTATTCTATTCTGCTCCCCACCCCTTGAGGCCTGGGGGCCCGGAGAACCAGAGCTGCTGCCCTAAAGCCATGTTCTCAGCTGTCCCAGGAGAAAATGCTCAGGGGGCTGGAGCAGCAGCTTCCGGTACCAGAGGGAACTCTGGGAAAAAGCCAAGCCATTGAGGCAAGAAAAGGCCTTCCCTCTGATGCAGAGTCAGCCCCCTTCCAGGGCGCAGCTTCCCAGCAGCCCGAGCAGTAAGTACCCAGGGAGGGGGCCTGCAAATGGTCACTGAGAAATCCCAGAGCTGCCCACATACTTCCCCCTCCGCGGGCAGGAGAGGGAAAGGTGAGCAAGGCTCTCTGTGCTGAGCTGAGTCACTGGGGAGATTAGGGAACCCAGTGAGGGAGGGTCTCCTTCATCTCCTCCAGGACCCCTAAAGGGGTGTGTGGTTCTCGGTGTGGCCTGAGGCCACCTCCCTAGACTTAGGTAGACCTGAGGATGGAGCCTCCCTCTCCCCTGCCTCCTTTTGCTCCTTCTTCTCCACCACAGAGCACACACGCGCGCGCACGCACACACACACGTGCGCACGTGCACACACACACGTGCGCACGTGCACACACATGCACACACACACATGCACATGCACACACATGCGCGCGCGCTCTCTCCCCCACCCCCACCCCCCGCTCCCTCTACTTAGCGAGCAGGACGTTTCTACTCAGTTCAAGGAACAATGGGAATCTCTTGTCCTGCTCTGCTCTGTCTCATTTGCAAAACACCCTCAGAGCCCCCTGAGTCTCACCTACCTCTCAGCCTGAAGATTTCACCCAAGTGACCCCCCACTCCCCTGCCTAATCCAGGGCCCCCAGGGTGTTTTCCCAGCAGCCTGTGGGCTTCCATCCTCAGCTTGGGCCTTCGTGAGGTGGGAGGAATCCCCCTGCTGTGTCCCGCACTATAGAGGAGCCCACTGCAAAGTGTACCACTCCTGGGGCCACCGTCCACTGGGGCCCCGGGGCACAGCTGCCCCGCCCGCTCCCTCCCCCCGCCCCCGTTCTCCATCCCTGTTCCTCAGGTCGGCTACAGGCAGCAGAGAAGCTGGTCCAGCAGCTGGCCTCAGAGCTCTCCCTTTCGGTTGGGAAATGCCTTTGGTGGCAGAATGTAATGATTCGTCCACATCGAGATCTGCCCAAACACCGGTCATCGGAACGGTTTGCCCAGAGGGGTTTTTGAGGGCCGATGCCAGACATGAGTGTGAGGGAAGTCCCAGCTGGCCCTGGGACCCATCCATCCTATCAGGCTGGTATCGCGAGGCTGGTGGTAATGGAGGGGACTGGGGCTGAACTGGGACAGGGTTGGATTTGGGCCTGGGGCTAGTTGGGTGGGTGGTAGGCAGAGTTACCAGTCCCTCCTCTCCAGCCTTATCACTTCTTACCTGAACTGTGGCAACAGCATCCTCACAAGCCTCCCTGCCCTGAGCCTCGCCCCTCTAATCAGTCCTCACGCCTCCCTTCCCTGTGTCCTGAAGGGTTGCTTAGACTATGCCCTGTGAGCTGATCAAGGACTGAGTCTTCCTGGTTCATAAATCTTCAGTGGCTCCACAGAAGAGTCTCAAGGCCTTGCAGTTGGCCTCAGCCACATTCCCGGCCATGCACCCCCTCCCCCACCCCCGCCCCAAGAGAACCCTCCACCTCAACCAAAGTTCTTGGGCTCTTCTGGCTCTAGGCCTCTCCTTCCCCTCAAGAACAGCCCAAATCCCATCGTCCACAAGGCTTTGCCCGACTGTCCCATCAAGACGGAGAACATTCTCTGAACACTCAGCATTCATTTGTTGGGAAAGAGCCCAGATTGGGAGCCAGATAGGCCTGGGTTCATATTTCAGCACAGTTCTAATTCCGTTAACTAGCTAGAAGTCACTTAACCTTTCTGAGCTTCCATTCTCACTCAGTACGTGGGAGTAAGCCCCACCGTGTGGGGTTCCTGGGAGTGCTGGAGGCTGAGTGACACCTGTTATTTTGCCTTCCCAGCGTCCATTCGTCTTTTTTATTGAGATATCACCTAAGATTTCTGTTGGCCGTGTGGTCCAGGTGGGGAGACTTCACTTCCTGGTTTTCATGGGCGGCCTGGCCAATGAGAATATTCCATCGCCCTAGCCACAGAGACAGTCACAAGGATGGACAGGTGGCTCAAACCAGGCCTGTGAGAATCATACTTGGGACTTTGGCTGGAGTTACTGAGAATTTCTATCAGATTTGCTAGGCTGATAGAAGGAAAGCTGGAGTCTTTAGCCACAGTTGTGGGTTGAATTGTGTCCCCCGCAAAAGATATTCAAGTCCTAACCCCTTTGAATGTGATCTGATTTAGAAATGGGGTCTTGGCAGAGGTAAGCAAATTAAGATAAAGCTATACTGGATTAGGGTAGATCCCAATCCAATGTCTGGTGTCATAAGAAGAAGAAGGAAATTTGGACACAAAGGTTCCTGGGAACAGGCCACATGATGACCGAGGCAGAGATGAGAGAGGCCTCTGCAAGCCACGAAACGGCGAGGGTTGCCAGTAACCGCCCGAAGCTAGGAGAGAGGCACAGGACAGTTTCTCCCTCAGAGCCTCTAGAAGGAGCTCCCTCTGCCAACACCACGATTTCAGACTTTGGCCTCTGACCGTGAGAAGATAACTTCCTGTTGTGTTAAGTCACCCAAGTTCATGGTGATTTGTTATGGCAGTTATAGGAAACTAATATAGCCACCCAATGGTGACACCGTGCCTGAGTCTGAAGCCGATACTGAAAATCAGGGCCACAGACAGGGACTCTTGGCACGATGACAATACTTGGATCCAGCAGTGGCTGAAGCAAGAGGTCTACGTCAGTTACATGAGCCAGTATCGTCTCGATTTTATTTAACAGAATATCTGAATGTGTGTCTCTTTTAACAGATAGACCTGACTCGTAAGGAGATGCCTGGTCAATAGAAAGCGCTATGTAGTTACCCTTGTGGCTGCTGCCATTTCTATTTACAGCCAGACTGGGTGCTCTCAAGAACAAGGGCCACTCTCTCGTCTTTGTCGCAGGCTGAGTTCCCCAGAAGCAGGCTCGGAGACAGTTAGCGAGCAGGACGTTTCTTAGGGAGTGGCTTTCAAATCAAGGCCTGTGGACAAGAAGGCAAAGACACAAGACTGGGCAGAGGGAAGCCCAGCAGGGAGGCCCCTTGACAGCCCCACGCAAGTTCCGGAAATAGAACTGCTCTCCCGTCATTCTGAGTTGGATCTTTGAATCCATTCGTCCCTGAACTTGGGCCGCCCTGGGAAAGGGCGAGATCTTGGGAGAGGCATCTCTCTGTGGCTGAGGCCATCCCTGAAGGGGCAGAGAGCGGCCAGCCCTCCCAGAGCTGGGGCAGCAAGTCCTTCACCCAAGGGGACTTTGGTGGGCTATTTCGGTGCCCACCACACTCAGGGCATAACTCAGGGCCTGGCACCCGATAACTGTTCATTGCTGAAAACATTGACTCATTCACTCATTCATTCATTTACTCATTCATTCAAAACCCAAGGTCGATGGGGCAAAGTCTGGTGGCCCGGTGGTCTGAGTTGTTGGAGTCTGTAGGAGGAAGTCCTGGTAGGGGATGGGGTGGGATCAGAGCACTATGGAAACACCACGATCGAGCTGACGGGGATACAGTCAGGCTGGCTGTCATGGGGATTGGTGGTGTGGCCTTGCCCGATGCCTGGCACTGAGTGTGTCCGAGTCAGCAGCATATGATCAGGGTGCTGTAGGCAACCATTTCAATGGCTTCTCTTTTGCGTTACAGGGCTATAACATTTTTCTTCATTTCTTGCAGAGATTTCTTTGTGTGGAGGGTAGAATTTAGAGGCTGGCTAAACCTTTAAAGCCTCTTTTCTTGAGTCTTCCCTGCCTCCTCAGGCAGCTCTTCCTATAGCTGTGGGATCCCCCATGTCCCAGCCCCAGCCTCTTGCACATGCTCACAGCCCCAGGGCCTCGTCTGCTGGCCCCCAGGCCAGCCCCTCCTGAGAAGCCATGCAACCCTCTCTTATCAGATGAGAAACCAAGTCTCAGAGAGAGGAAGCTTGTCTTCAAAGTAACAGTCAGTGGCTGAGCCAGGAAGCAGGACCCACTTCTCCCTCCTCAGCCTTCCTCCTGCACAGATCAAACCACAGTCCTCTGTCTAAGGAGTGTCCAGCCCCTCTGCCTGCAGCTGCTTTGTGCACGGTGGCTGGAGGGTCAGCACAGTCCACCCTCCCAGGGCTTCTCCAGGAAGTGGAAGAGCAGCCATAAGCTCCTCTGAGGCCACTGTCCTGCCCCACCCCTATCACAGGTGAAGGGAAAGTCAAGTTCCCTGAGGTGGTACCTTCCTGAGCCTACACAGTGAGCCCAGGCTGGCTGTCCTGTTTTCCCTAAGTTGTTCCTGTCTCTGAGTTTACATAAAGCCCTTAACTCTATTTTACTTTATCTTATTTCCGAAGGGTCTTAACAGAGAACAACACAAGAATAGGTTTTATTATACCAACCAGACCACAGACTTCTTAAGGGCGGGTTGCGGGCAAGAAAGGGGGCTGGTGCTGGGAAAGGTGAATTACTTCTCCTGTGCCTCCCCTGCCCCCCACTCTTTTGTAACCCGGATTGCTGTCTAAGAAGGGAGTTCCATTAGATGAAGGCGGTTTTGCTCTGGAGCGCCTGGTTGACTTGGATGCGCAGAGAAGCATCTAGAGGGAGACAGGCAGGAGGGGGCGGGGAAGCCGATTAGCCCCTCACAGAGGGAGGAGGCTCTGGAGAGGGCACAGCGGGAGGAAAGGCAGAGGGGACAGTGGAGAGGGCAGGGGGCACCAAGCCTGTGAGAGGCTGAGGCCGGGGACTTTGGGACCGTGCGGGGGAAGGGCAGGTGAAAGTCTCCCAGCAGCGAAGTGACCGAAGGGCGAAGGGCGTTTGCTCTGTTCAGAGGAAGCTCCTTGCCTTTCTGCCCACCCCCCACCACCTCCA